AAGAAGAGTCAAGACAAAGAATGGGAAATGCAAATCAAGGGTGCTTTGAGATTTCATCTCACACCTGTCAGAATGTCTAAGATCTATTAGACAAGTGACAGCTCATGCTGGGGAGGATGTGGAGTAAGAGGAACACTCATCCATTGCTGGTGGGAGTGTAAACTCACACAGGCACTATGGAAATCAATGTTGTGGTTCCTTAGGAGATGGGAATTGGTCTACCTCAAGATCCAGCTATCCCATTTTTGGGGGAGGCATTTACCCAAAGGGAGCTTCATTCTATCAGAGAGGCACCAGCTCAACTATATCCACTGCTGCTCTATTCACAATAGTCAGAAATTGGAAAGAAAACCTAGATGCCCCTCAGCAGAAAAATAGATAGAGAAAATGTGGTACAGTTACACATTGCACTATTACTCAGTCATTAAAAAACAGCAAGATCATGAAATTTCCAGGAAAATGAATGGAACTGACAAAATCATGCTGAATGAGGCGACCCAGACTCAGTCAGAAAGATGAGTATGGTATGTATTTGCTTATATGTGGCTATTAACTGGGAAGTCCATGGTAACCAAACTATAAATAGAACCAGAGAGGCTAGATATAGAGTCAGGGACTAGAGGGAACAGACAGATATTACTAGACAAGAGAAGTAAAAGATAGTTTTGTATGGATGGACAGGGTGAGAATTACATCTAATAAAGTTGTGGACTGAAGGGTTCCCAAGGAAATCCTCAAACAACCTAGCTATTGACAAGACAACATGGGTTATTCTCCACAAACTGACAGCAATGCCCCATTACTGCATGCACAAGGCCTGTGTGGGTCTGCACCAAGTCCTCTGAATATATATTATTGTTCCCAATGTAGTGTGTTTAGGGATTCCCGCATTTGGGAACAAGTATGTTTCTGATTCTTGTGCCTTCTCTTTAGCTCTTTTCCTTCTGTGCATTGTCTTGTCCAAATTTATGTGATTATTTTTGTTTTATCTTAGTGTATTTAATTTTGTTTTATTAAAAAAAAACAAGAATGGATGAATGAAAACCTAGCTGAAAGGGTAAAGGTCAATGAACGAACTTTTGTTTATACCTGCTGGGAGAGGGAAAATCATTTCAGTGACACTGGGTAGATGAACCACTCCAGGACAGGCTTCATGCTCAGGAGTAGTTGACCAACATGTAATGGACTCCAAAATTTCTTTTGTCCTTTTATTTGCTTACAGTTTGGTGCTTTTGCTTTGTTTTGTTTTGATTTTTTTTTGGACAGGGTTTTATTGGTTTTGGGAATTTTGTTCTTGTATTATGCTTTTGTTTTTCAGAAGAAACTTAAAGTTGGATGTTGGGGGAGTGGTGGAAAGGATCTGGAAAGACTTGAGGGGGAAAAGAATATGATCAAAATACATTTAAAATTAAAATTTGTTTTAAATAATGAAAATACCATGAAAAGGGTCTTGAGATATGTCTCAGTGGTAGGTAGAGTGCTTGTTAGCAGGCTTAAAGCTTTTGGTTCCAACATCAGCACTCCAAGGAACAACACTAGCAATAGAATTTCTATCTATCTATCTATCTATCTATCTATCTATCTATCTATCTATCTATCTATCATCTATCATCTATCTATCTATCTATCTATCTATCTATCTATCTATCTATCTATCTATCTCCTATCTATCTATAATCTATTTATATATTTAATTTAGTCAAATAGTTCTATTGAGTTCTATCATAGGGAATGATATTAGGCAGCTTTTAAAATTGACCAAGAAATCCATGTTTTAATTCTTTAAGGTTACAAGTAAATTGTCCATAGTTTCAGGGACGCTGTTAGCAAATATGATAAATACTCCTGGGTTATTAACCCAGCACGCTCTATGAGCATTCTCATGCCAGACTTTGGGTCCTGAGCTTCATCTCTACAGAGTTAAGAAAAAAGAGTCAGGTGATATTTGTACATCCAGCAGGCACTTTTCGAGAAGTGTTCTCTAAATTCAGAGTATTTACAGAAGCTTGCTTGACTTTTGCTCAAGGCAGAGTCATTACAGTCCTACGACTATATATATAGACTTATCTTTATTGCAAATGTAGGTACTATTGTCTCCATCTTTCAAGGCCCCTCCAAGGTGACTGCTATACAAACATCTTGGGAAAGTTAGTCTGCAAAACAGAAAACAGACAGTATCCTTTTTTTTTTTTTTTTTTTTTGGGAAAACAGAGAGTTGTAGCTGGTGATAGCTCAACCCTGTTTGTAAGTTGCTGAGGCAGTAATTTCTTCCACCTTTTAGATATTATCTAAAGCAAATTTACATAGATATATTAAAATAGTCATATCTGTAGTTTCTGTACCTTAAAATACTTGCAAAATTTCCTTTACTAATTATATATAGGCAGTCTTTTTCATCATTATTCTCTAAAGAATACAGCATGACAACTATTTACACAGCATTTGGATTTCGTTCATTATCTTAAGTAATACAGAGATGATTTAAAGTACATGGAAGATGTGTGTAGAATATATATAAATACAGTAGCATTCTATATATGTAAGCTTCTGCAGAGTTTGTTATCTACAGGGTGTGCGAATCAGTTTCCCATGGATCCCAAGGGATGTACAGGGACATGTAAAATATATACCACAGACACACACACCAGGCACATGCATAAACATACACATAACTATTTATATGAGTAGTTTCTCATCTCTTGCATTTAAAATACAATTCAGGCTATGCGTATATATGGTTTATTCTCCTTTTTCTGGTCCCTAAGTGATTTCGCAAGAATTCAGTTAACAAATGGTGTAACATGCCATACCACACTCCTTTCTTTTTATCAATACCGTGCTCAAGCAAACAAAAATAATGTTGTATAATTTGCGGGTCTAACAGTTCTAAAGTGCAGTAGCTTCCAGACCACCTCCTATCTGCAGACTTTAGAACATTGCCCCAAACTGAGTGCAGTAAAGAGTTGCTGCATCGGGTTTTTAAACTCAGGACCCTTTCTTACAGTTTGAGTAACACACATGGCGCTTTGAAAATTGAAAACGTTTCTTCTTCCTTTTTAAAATATGTTTCCGGACACCATAAGCTCAAGGGCTCTTTTTATTTATGGTAATTCGAGTATAAAGATGCATCACAAGCGGAAAAAGCATGTCTCTAAAAGTAACTGACAATAAAATTTATTAGGAGTCAAGTGCCTCCCCTCCACCCCAACACATCCTTTGACAATTGTCTTATTCTTGTGGGTATTGTTTATTTTGCCCTGCCATTTCCATTCACTTCAACAGGAATTTAGTAGGGAGCCTTTACAGCCCCAAACTAATCCTTGTAAGTTCCCTCAGGGGAGTAAACACCAGTAATGTGTTGAAACCTCTGTGGTCGTCCTTAAAATTAAATAGCTCTTTGTACAACTAAAGCAGAAATTACAAAATGTTTCTGTACTCCTTCTGCGTCAAAAATCACTCCCCACAGGAACCAGAAAAAAGATTTGTCAACCTCAATTACTGATCAAGAACAAGGGCTACTCTACCAGTACTCAAGGGTCAAGCACACAAAGGGTGGGCGAGGGGTGTGGGGAGGCTGTCCCTCCCGGTCAGTTGAAGCCCGCCCGAGTTGGGATCTGGGGACCTGAGGCAGGCTAAACTTGAGGATCGGGATAGATATTTGACCGCCTCCCAAATTGCGGTCCTACCCCTCAGAGGCAGGGAGAGGAGCAGAGTGCGTGCGCGAGCGCTTACGTCGCCTGAGCTCTGTGCTGGGATAATCAGGAGTTGGGCTGAGCCGAGTCCTCTTTTAGCAGCAGCAGGCACAGGAGTGGCAGCAGCAGCCCCAGGGACGCGCGGGACCCAGCGGTTCTGAGCGCACGGGGGACAGCTGGTGCTGGCCGTGGCGTACCACCGCTTGGGCGCACAAAGGTAAAGGCGGCCTCAGCCCTTGTGGCCTGCCTAGTCCCGGCGTTCCGGTCCTCTTCCTCCTTCCTCTCCCGAAGGCGAAAATGAATGGGCCGGGCGAGGACCTGGGAAAGAAGTGGTCCTAGCTCAGCCGGTCTCCACCCTTCCTGCTGATAGAGGCAGCGGGCTGTCCTTGGATGAGGTGGTCCAGGCTGCTGCTTCCTGGCGAATCGTCAGCCGGGTCACCGCCACGGGGTCTTTCTCTGCTTGCTCCATCGCTCTGAGAGGAGTTGATGCTGGCATCACCCCCGCCGCCACCACCACCTCCGCGGAAGCCAGTGCAGATGGATGCTGGGGAGTGCCGCATTGCTTAGCGTCCCCGCCTCCGGGTTTGCTGGTAGGAGCTGGCTGCTCTTTCTTCTTTCTGGCTTTGGGGGCGGTTGGGGTAGGTTGGGGGGTTATAGCAAAGATAGAGACATTTTTTAAATTTCATTTTCTACAACTCCATACTTCCACCCTGGTTTTGACATGTATGCTCCCAGAGAGGTCTCCTCCAGTTCTTATCCTCACCCTCCACTCCCTTGGCAAGTCCTCTGAAATAAAGGGCTAGACTAGGCAGAAGTTGGGGGCAGGGGTGGGGGAGCCCACGCCCGTGTCAACGGTACCCAAAACCCAGCTGGAGCCTTATGAGATCACGGTGTGTGGACGAGGGGCGGAGGGAAGGGTGCACGCTATCTGCAGTCTCCCCTAATTGGACCACAATAACCTAAAGTAAAAATCGCACAAAGATAGCCTGTAAAAATAGCATCTCTGAATAAGCAGAAGGAGAAATGAGCTCCCTTCTCCTCCTTTTTCTCCTTTTCTTTCTGCCAAAGACTCTCCCTCCCCGCCCTGGAGCTCAAAGCTGAAGAGCCACCTTATTATTAATCAGAATTCCCGTCTTTATCCCTGGCAGGCACATCCTTCAGCAGGGACCGCAGCAGCATCACGGTACTGGGGCTGAGATGTGCGTGGGGGTTGTTTTCCTTACATCGTACAAGACAAGAGAAGAAGACAGACTCAAGACCCGAAGCGCCCATGCTAAGTGGAATTAGGGGTTCTCTTTTTCTTTTATCCCCCCCTTCTTTTTATTCGGAGAGATAAAGGACAAGAGGCAGGCTGGCAGGGCCTGCCCAGCGGCCCACTTCTAATGGGAGGCGTTGTTTTTTAGGGGGGCTGGGGTTAGAAGTTTAAGTACACTCCAGAAAAGCTGTGTGTGTATGTGTAAGTGTGTGTTGGGGGGGAAACAGGAGCAACAGGGTACTTGACTGAACACGAAGAGGAACCATTTCCTGTACAGGAAAGGAAGCAGACAGCAGCTAGAACTGGGGGCTGGAGTGTGGTGTGGAGGTGGCAAAGGCCAGGTGCATTGTTGGACACACAAGGAGAGCTTCAGAGAGGACAGCTTGGGAGCAGGGGAACAATGACTCATTTGCAAGCTGGTCTCTCTCCTGAGACCCTGGAGAAAGCTCGCCTGGAACTCAACGAGAACCCAGACACTCTGCACCAGGACATCCAGGAGGTGAGGGACATGGTGATCACTAGGCCAGACATTGGCTTTCTGCGCACGGATGATGCTTTCATCTTACGCTTCTTGCGGGCCAGGAAGTTTCATCACTTCGAGGCTTTCCGCCTTTTGGCCCAGTACTTTGAGTATCGGCAGCAGAACCTGGATATGTTCAAAAGCTTCAAGGCTACTGACCCTGGCATCAAGCAGGCACTGAAGGATGGCTTTCCTGGAGGCCTGGCCAATCTGGACCACTATGGGAGGAAAATTCTAGTCCTGTTTGCTGCCAACTGGGACCAGAGCAGGTAAATCCTAAAGCCAAAATTTCATTTATGATCTTTTGATCTTCTACTTTTTAGAGTCTACTCCGAGGAGTTTTGGAGAGGTGCAGCTTCAATGCTTTTGATGGTTTGGCTGGCGGCAAAGGGAAAATGGGACTGAGAAATGAGCTTTAGGTCGGGTCTCTGGGAAGGGCTTGTATTTTTTGCTTTTCAAACTTCCTACGCTGACACAGTTCCTACTGTAGCTCTACGTGTTCCCCCAAAGCATATTATTATGCTGAGAACTAATTAGCTACTGAATAGAAGTTTGGCTTCTAAATCCTGATGTTTAATAACGGGGAGGGAATAGAGCCAACTTTTCCTTCTTCTTCCTCAAGAAATTCTTCAATTCATCCTTGGCATTTTTGCCTTTGTTGCTCCCTCGTACTGGCATTTTATCTCACCCAAACAGGCTCCTGTTTAACCACGAACAGGCAGCTTTCTTGCTTGGGAACTTTTCTGCTTGGTGATGTGTAGATGAAGGCATCATGTGATCTGTGTCACTTCAATGAGAAGGAAGAGTTGTGCCCTCTGTCGCGGAGCATGCTCAGCGACACTGAAAATAAAGGCTGACTGGTGTTCCTGTTCGACACCTGTCACTAATCTGAAGGGTATGCTTCCTGTCTGATGTGATTAAGCATCCTTTTGAAGTGGGAAACTTTAAGATACATCGGCTAGAAGGCTCTGTGAGCTCAGGTGCTGTTTAGTGGAAGAGAAATAATGCTCTTACTTCCTCTACTGTAGAAAAAGGCTGACAGTGACGTTTCTATATTCTTCATCACAACTATTTTCTCAGACTGGAAGACATAAAACTTATATAAAAGGCTCTTAAAAAGGGCAAGGTAGTTTCTGCCAATTACAAAGTTGAACGTGTTTCATCAGATTTGTGAAACCAGTTGTTAAAACATTTGGTCTCTTCAGTCCTGTGAGTAGTGTCTTTGGATGCATCTGGTTAGTTTAACCTATTTCTGGAGCAATGTAAATGATTCTGCAGTTAAAGAGAGATACAATAGCTCTAACAGATTCCCCGACAGACTTCTGAGAGTGTTATTGGTATGTTAAAATGTAAATGGATATTTTAATAGTTTTTTCCTCTTTTAATTGGTCATACTCTCCTCTAACTCTAGGTTGAAAGATTCTACTGATAATTTTTCCTAGTAAATATAGAAATTACCTATTATCTGGAGAATCACAGACTTTAGGAGTTCACAGACAAGATTAACCATAAAATGGGATGGAGTTCCCTTGCTATGAATCTTACATTGATTTTTATTGGAAGGGGGGAGTCGGTAGAAAATTTTAAAAGACTATGAAATCACACCCATTGACTACATGTTTTCTTTGAGTCTTTTTTTCTGTTAATGTGAAAAGTTCACTATAGAATTATGAAAACTATTTTTTTCTACCAAAATATAAAAATAAAATGACAAAATGTCACAGAACATCACATTCCTTATATCAGCTAGGCTGGAAAGGTATTCATTAAGTTATGATGTTATGCTATATTGGACCATGGTGATATGAAGATATTTTATATTTAAATATGTCTTGAATCTGTTATAAATCTTTAGAAAGGCAGGTTTCACACACACACTATATTGTATTTTTCTGTAAGTGTGCAAATAGTCACAATTTAAAAACCACACCAAAATGATTGTTACTTACAGTTCTTAGGTAAGAAGAGTATTTTGGCTATAGGAAAGAGAATGTGTTTTAGTTGCTTACTGCATGCATTAATATAAAAGACAGGCTATTAATCATCAAGACTCTCCTTGGAAATCTATAGTGGGAGGCAATTTATTGATTGGCATGTAGAATTATTTTCAATAAGCCAATATAAGATGATAAGCAATAATAAATGCATGTGTAGTTAAAATTAGAAATGAGAAGCCACCTTTTATGGACATGGACTCTCAGGGTCTCTGCCTAGGGTATCATTTCTGTCTCAGGGTCTACACCTAGGGTATCATTTCTGTGGTTGAGGGGGCACTTCTCTCCTAGAAGGGAAAGCACATCAACAGGAAAAGGACAAACCTGGTTTAGGGCTTTTCTAAATTCCAGGTATTTCCACCTTCTTTATTCATAGACTACTCATAAAATCATTCCTTCGCTTTTCTTACCTATGCCGCATTTCAAATCAACATGTACTGATGGACAGGGACACAGATAAAGAGTTCTGAACCTTGGCGTTCTCTGAAAGCCTTCATCTTCAGGATATGTGCTGAAATAGTGTTGTGATGTTTTACCTAAAATGAAAGGAGAGCGGTCTCTCCCAGGGCCAGAGCCGCCCCAGTTCATTTCAACCTGGATTTCCTTTTTCTGTTCTAAGTCTTGTGGCTTATCTTACTTGATTCCAGCAGAAATCTCTGGGCACTTCTCTATATGACACTTGGTAATAATGCTCCGTTAGGTGCACATATCACAAGCCACGTTCTCCTGTTCCCCAGCCCTCTCCTGCTGTGTGAGTCAGTCACTCTTTCCTTTTGTCATCTTGACAGTCCCAAATCACCTGAGTTCAAGAAGACTGCATGCCTGAACTTAACTCTGACCACAACTCTTGCATTGAATAGCTATTTTTAAAAGTAATGTTCTTTTCCGGAAAGAACATGGGGAGTGTAACCCATTTTACAGGGAAATTTCAGAAATTCAGAAAAATCTCCAGTCAACATGATTTAAGGGAAAAAGACTTATGTACAATTTTCCAAGTACAGAGGTAAGAGGAAAATGTATGAATTAAAAGGAAAAAAAAATCCAAGTCCACAGAAAGTTAATCTGGTGAGAGAAGCTAAGAGACTCAGAAAGAAGCCGAGTTGAAATAAAAGTTACAGAGTTTTTACCAAAATTTCTAGGTGAGTTTTCTCCTGTACTGAATAAGGAAGAAAATTTTGATGTTCCCCAGGACACTGGACATTTAAGTGTATGTGAGAGAAAAGCATAAATAGAATAGTGACTTTTTCTATGGAAATATAGTACAACTTAGTTTGGATTCACTGTGAAGAACTACAGAAGCATTTCCAAAAACTTTCTGAGACATGGAGTCATCAATAAGTTTATGCAGGGCTCAGTATTTGCAGTGTAACCACTCTATAGTAAATCGAATGCAACTGAAGAGTCTAAAATGTCAAGTGACTTTTGCTTTCATCTGTGGTTCTTTTAGAAAGGACTGGAACAGGCTCAGATGACGTGCATTTCATCGATCAGGCTATGCCTTGGAAGAGTCACACAAATTTGTCTTCTTCCTTTCAGATCGCCTAACATAATTTTTGAAAATAGAAGTAAACACAAGGAAATTATAAGCAATTTGATAGTCACGCTGCACCATCTGAATGTCACAGTAGTTCCTGGACCCCAGACATCACATGCCTCATTTGCCTCCTCAGTGATAGTGCCTTGCTTAGGACTAGTAGATACATTCAATTTTTCCAGTCAATTTTGTCAAAAGTCTGGGGATAATGGTCCGTGAAGCTAAAAGAGATAGCTCCGAGTGGAAAGGAAGCTTAGAATCAAAAGGGAAAACATTCTAGACCTTAGATTGTAAGAACAAATATCTGAGAAATTGGAATCCATACGTAACAGCTGTGGAGGCAGCTCCGTGTAGAAAAGCACTCGTCACAAAAGCATGGTAACTTAAGCTCAAATTCTGGAATCCATGTGAAGGCTAGACATGGTGCCTGTGCCTCTGTAACCCCAGTGCTCTCATTTGCAAGAATATGATACAGGAGAATTCTTAGAATCTCATAGATCAGCTTATTTTACACAGTGGCAAAACTGCAGAAACCGCCTTTCAAAGGAGATGGAAGATGAGGATCGACAGCACCAAAGGTTGTCAACTCTGGCCTTTACTTGTGTCTGTACACCACATACACATACACAGAAGGGAGGGCACTAGATCGATGGACAGTAATATTTACTGGAGATATTCACGAATGAGACCTTGCCATATCATATGAAACGTAAGATGACATTTTTAGAGTTGGATTGGATATTGTCAGTTAGCCCACTACTAACACGTTTGTAGATAACAGTGGTCTTATAGAACTGTTCATTACATGCCAAACAGTCATTTATCTAGAAATTGGCTGATAGTCACTAGAAAATAACTAAATGTAACTATAGTTAAAACAATTTTTTTAATAGTGATAATTTAGAGTGTGCAGCCATCCTCTCCCTGTCTTGTCACAAGGACTGACTATCACATACCTCTGGAAGAGGTAGGAAGCACACTGTTCAGATATGACTGTGATCCTTTAAATTATCCAGAAATTTGCTTATTACTCTGGCATATTTGTTGGTATAGTGTAACTGTTTATTAGAAAAGAAACCATGCAAATAGACAACTATTTATGGCATCTTTTCAAATTATGACCACGTACCTGTTTCTCCAAAGAGTGTAGTCAGCATTCGAAAGAAATACAGATTGTTCAGCCACCTAACACTTCAAAACAGCCATAGAACACAGAACTTGATATATGCCAGGGGCAAAGATTTAGTCTTCCTTAAGGTGCTCTAAAAGATATAAACTGAAGTAAAAAAGCAACTGAGTATAGATTGAAATAGTCATGGGCAATTAGCCAGAGAAGTCGGGAGACATGCTGTTAACAGTCCTTAAAAATGCACAATTGTTTGGACTGATTTTTAAAAAGCTTCCTTTGTCAGCTTATTGGAATATTTTTTAGCTGAACCATTATTGTTATGTGCAGTGCAGACCCGGCACCTTCACAAACTCGAGGGCACTGTTGTGTGGTGTTATGGGTTAGTTGTGATTAGGTTGAAACTATCAATGGGTGATGGTCATTTCATGGGACTTCTGTCTGAGAAGAACGTCCATAATTGTAAGGAAGTTCTCTCAACAATGTTCTGGAAGCAGCAACTGATGCCAAACGAAGTTACAGACCATAGAGAGACTGAAGGTGATATGAAAAGCTGTCTTGGAAAGTCGTAAAGAGATAAAGTGACAGATTCCTGAAAAAAAAAAATAGGACAGT